TTATCATTCTGAAAACCTAGATCTAATGACTCCCCTCTCTTGTTTCCAAATCTTTAGTTGATTCCTATTTTACATGCAATAAAATCTCTGCACCTTGACTTGGTGTTCATACCCACTTTTGGTGTGTCTTGAGGCTTTCTAACTTTATCTCCCATTGAATAAAAGCCCTCTGCCCACCTTGCCCTTTACCTATATTACACTACTATTCTTTCCTAAAATTGTCTGCTTTCTTCCTCCATTTATTTAAGCATTTTCTATTGTCAGGATGCCCTTGTCCCCCTTCTTTACCTTAACCGTCTTGCTCTCAAAGCTTCTAGATCTCATCAGTGAAATTACTTTCTGTTTGCCCTATACTTCCTTGTTCTGTTTCCTTATTTTATTGTACCAATAACCTGCTTTTTGCAGTACCTTAGTATGTTCACTTTTGTTTCTTTCTATTAAAATTGTGAGCACTTATATTCATCTGTATGTCCCCCACAATGTCTTGACTATAGTAGGGACTCAGTGAATGTTACTCTTAATTTGACAGGACAGTGTTAGATATTATAAGAGCACATATGACCAATTACAAAATAAATTCTGTAGAAAACTGTTAGGAGTTCAAACAGAGAAGTTACTTCAGATTAGGATGGGTAAAAAGGTTTTATGAGGGAATGTAGGTTAAATATTAAGTCATAAAGTTTAAGATAAACTGAAAATTGGAGAGTTCAGGAAATGAGTAACTTAAATATTTTGAGGTGCTTCACTTTATTGGAAGTAGGTGTAATGTATTTAATAATGCTAAGCCTATACATGGAGGAGAAAATATACTACTTCTGGTTCTTCAATTTTTGAGAATTCCTCTGAACATTTATAACAGTGACTTCTCCCACCAGATAATTGTTGTCAGGCGACATTAAAAAAAAAAAATCACTTTTCATTCTACAACAAAGTGGTGCTTCAGTTAAAGCTACGTGACTTCTTCCGGTTCCTAAAGACATTTCATGTAGTTGTGAATGTAGATTGCCAGATAAAGTGTGATTTTAATTGGACACTGAAGAGTATCAGAAAATGACACAACTTATATATATGTTGTAATTCTAAGTTGAGTTCTGTTTTTCATATCAAATTTCTTATTCCTAAAATTAGCTTTTTTTTCTTTGTACTGGCCGGTGAATGTCATAAGACATTCCATAAGACATAAGACATACCAATTTTGGTGTACTCAGATTAAAAAAAAAAATCTTTGACTTTAACGCTTGTGAAAATCCATTATAATATGTTATTATTTTTTTATAAAATATTAAATCTGATTAACAGATGTGCTAACATTTTTCCCTTTCTTATAAGCATTTTATCATTTAATGAATCTATTACCTTGAATTTTAATTTGTTATTTGTGATCTTTGTTTTATATTGCAGTTATACTTTAGTATACTTGGCTTAATTGTTAGACTTCATGTATAGTCAATTTTAATTACAATGATGGCACTTTTAGTTAGTATAATTCTTAGCTATTTCTGAGTTGTTGTTTTTTTCTTTTATTAGAATGTATATATTTTTCTACAATAAATTATTCACATCACTGTGAGTTTAATTTAATACCAGCACAAATATTTACTTATAATTGTTTGATTTATTATGGTGAGTAATATGGAAAAGTCTCCAAAATTTGTATGTGCATATATACACACACACACACACACACACACACACATGTAGAATTTAAGTACACATGTAGAATTTAAGTACCATTCTATTTCCTAGATTCTCTTTTAGTTTACAATAGTATATTTTCAGTAATAAGTCAGTAACACAGTACTAAGTTAATAATTATTGGATGTGCTTTTCTAAAAGAAAATGTAGTTTTCCTGATCATCAAAAATATGTCTAGATGTCCTATATTTTTTTAGAAATGAACTTTAAAATCTAGATTTTAATGCTGCAGGTCAATAGAGATTCCAGATTTCAATGCTGATCTTGACGATTCCTCATAATATGACAGCTAAAAGAGCTGACGAGAAATAGAGTTAGAAAGCATTTTTTTTTCTTTCAGAATTAGGGAAAAGAAGGTTTTGCTATGAGACACTGAGTATACTTTGATCATGCTTTGTAAAGTTTGGAGCATTTGAGAATGCAGTTGCAGTATGTTTTAATATAGTTTTTTTTTAAGCAATCATAACTAAAGAAAGTACTGTTTATATATTCTGATATTTGGTACTTATAGAGGTGTTTTCCCTAGAGTTTCCTCGTATTATCTTTCTTTTTGTATATGAGTAAAATTTCAGATTTAAATGAAGAGCAGAAATAATTTCTGTTTTTAAAAGTGAAACCTACATTTCTTTGGATTAGTGGTGTTAATCAGCACATCGCTTAGGTACTTTCTGTGAGGATCTTGCTTTTTTAGCTGCTTTTAAGCTTTTAGAGCTCCCTCACAGATATGAAAATAAATAAGCAATATTCTCTGCATAGCTGGCAAAAAACAGTTGATAGGTATTTTGGAGGTACTGGTAACAAAGTTACTTTATGTAGTGTTATTTATAATTTTGTTTTAATACAAATGGAATGTGGAAAATAACAGTAAAATATGAATGAACTACATAATGTGATTTATTTTCAGGTTAGTGCTAAGGTATCTTCACAGGCATTTCTTATTTACTTACCTATTTATTTCCACAAAGACACACGTGAAATCTTACTGAATATGTGAGCAACTTATATTTTTCCTGTAGAATGTTATGATACCTTTATTTAACTTTTTAAATTTTGAAAATATGGTCTAAGTGAGATTTTGTTGAGTATTGGAGGATTTAATAATCTTGACCATATCTTGGTGTTTAATGGTTTTCTTATAAAATCTGAGCATGCTAAGTGCTATATATAAAAAGCAGCTGAGAGACTATTAAATGATAGCATATTCTCAGTCCATTTTCTCTCGTATGTGTTCATGCATCTACTCTCAAACACAGCGTGCCTTGTAGTACGTTAATATATTTAATGTTACTAATAGGTATAATTATTGTAAGAAGGCCTGTTAAGTTGATAAGATTTATTTACATATACCTTCCTTTGCCCACATTCTTTAAGGGCAGCGGTTCTCAACCTTCCTAATGCTGCGACTCTTTAATACAGTTCCTCATGTTGTGGTGACCCCCAACCATAAAATTATTTTCGTTGCTACTCTATAACTGTAATTTTGCTACTGTTATGANCTAGCCACTCGGCCGGCCCGTAATGTTTATATTTGACATAAATTGCTGTACCAGAAGCTATGTGTGACATGGAGCGTTGTGATGATGGAGGATGAAGTAAAGACACTCTCGAAAGAGGACTTTCTGAACTGCTTCAGAAAGTGGCAGGAATGATGAGATGAGTGTGTGCGAAGTGAGGGGGAGTATTTTGAGAGGGATTAATGGCAATGTGTGTTATTGTAATAAATTTTTTTTAATTTAAACATTCACAGTATCTTTTGATCACACCTCATAAATCAGCTTGGAAAAGGTAGACTGAGACTGCTAAATCTTCAACTACAGGTTGAGAACCACTGAGTTTTAATTGATTGCTCTGGGTCCCTGAGACTGGTGTAGGTTTGGTATGGAATTTCAGGGTACAACAATTTAATGGTAGGAATATGGTGTAGCAGGCCATTTTAAACTAATGAATTTTTTTGGCTGCTTTTCCACGTCATTTATTTTTGTTATTTACTAAATTGTATTTGAGGGTATTTAATTTCTAGATTTTATTTATTCTTTTCTTTGGAAAGCTATAGCATGCTTATTGTGTTTGCCATCTACATTGAGTAGAAGTTTATTTACTGTGTGTAATGCTGTTTCTTGCCTGCATTTATTAAATGTAACACACAGTATGTTTTATTGATGGTTAGATATGGCTTCTGTTTTTGTTTCTTTGTTTAGTAGTTGTTATATAAGTATAAATAATTACATGTGATGATTGATTGAAAAAGAACTAAGAAAATCTCTTTAAACTTTAAAAAAAACAAAACAGGATTCTGAAGGTGATACTCCTCTTCATGATGCAATAAGTAAGAAACGTGATGATATCCTTGCAGTTCTTTTGGAAGCTGGAGCAGATGTTACCATAACAAACAATAATGGATTTAATGCTCTACACCATGCTGCACTAAGAGGAAATCCCAGGTAAAGATGTCACCTTTTACTATTTTATATGTAATTGGAAAACATTTTTCTGTTGCTGTTTCTCTTTTTTCTGATACTGATAAGAAAATAATTTTAGGTTATTTTAATATTTTAAAGCATTTTAAGATCTGTGGAAATTACACCTTCATTAAATAGGTTACTTTTATATGATGATTTTTTGATCCTTAAACTAATCAAGTATTATGAAATGGCTATTTAAATGTATATTAAATGAGGATATAAAGTATCAGGAATACTTGCTTATATTCTAAAGTTTTAATTAGAATGCAATCCATTTTGAGATGTATGTTTCTTTAAAATCATTCTTAAGGTGTTCTCTAATCCCATGTTATCCATTTGCATGGTCATTATTTTTTTAAACTGTAGCTAAATAACTACAAAGTTACCCAATTCATTAATAATATAATTAGATATATAAACTTCTAATATAAATATTTTTCAACCATTGTTATAATTACTGGTGGTCTACTGAATAAAAAAAAGTGTTTACTGGTTCAAATTTGAGAAAGACTTTTGGAAAGTCACAGAATTCATAAAACATTTGCAAAGTCCCACAGAAAAGGAAAATGCTTAACTTTGCTTTAACGTAGAACTTTTTATGAATGAATTTTTGGAACAAATTTACCTTGTAAAATATTTTTAGAAAATTCTGCATCAGACATCTGCTTATAGTTGAATCGAGTCCACATATCTTGACTGAGGGAAATATTCACTTTGAAGTTTATTTTGATAATTTAATCTATCCTGAATTTTAAAAAAATTGAGATACGATTGACATATACATTGTACTAGTCTCAGATTTACAACAGAATGATTCAATATGTGTACATATTGCAAAATGATCACCACAGTAAGTAGTTGCCATCCATTATCACACAGTTACAATTTTTTTTTTCTTGCAATGAGAACTTTTGAAATCTACTGTCTTAGGAAGTTTCAAATATACAATACAGTATTATTAACTATAGTCACCATGAATTTGTATTCTTTCATTCCATATTGCATTTTTATATCATGTTTCCTTCTAATTTTTTGCTGTTTTTTAGCTTCTTAGGATCACCACTAGAGGGTGAACACAGAGAACAAAAGGATTTTATTGGTATTGCTTATGGGTATCGTTAACAGTGGGTATATAATATAGGGTGAAATAAGTGGCTATATTTTAGATTGTCTTGATTTGTTTTTTCAAATTACAAATATTTGAGCACTTCATATTGTGAAGGAGACAAAATAGTATTATATGTTCTCTGCCTTTCAAACAGAAGATGATGATGATAATAGCACTTACCACATGCCTGGCCTCTACTAAGTGGTTTACATGCATTATCTCTCATTTATTTATTTTTTTTTTTTTTTAAGATTTTATTGGAGAATTGGGGAAGGGGAACAGACAAGTTGCTGTCCTTTTTGTTCTTTAGTCTAGTTGTGGAGGACGTTGTTCTTCATTGGCCCGTGTTGGTATTGTCATTGCGCTCTTTCTCGGTGAGGCAGTCGCTTGGCGGCCATTGGGGCCATTGGATGGCCGCTCACGAAAACTCACACCAGCTGCTGGTCAGCCCCACTGCAGCCTACACTGTCGCGGACGACTCACGGCAGCCCAGCTCCAGGTCGAGCTGTTTTTCACCATTTTAGCTGTAGAGGGTGCAGCGTCACTGGCCCTCATGTGGGATCCAAACCGGAGCCCTGCTCCTCAGAGCTGGCGACCCAAGTCAACTCTTAACCAACGCGCCACTCGGCTGGCCCTCTCATTTAATTCTTTGAATAGCCTTTTGGGGCAGTTATTAATGTCCTCATTTTATAGATGAAGAATATGAGGCTTATAAAAGAGGTGAATTTACTTATTCATGATCATGTAGCTGACTAGTGGAGCAGTTGGAACTTGAGCAAAGTTTGTCTGACTTCAGCATCGTAGCTCTTAACCACTTTATCTTACTTGTATTATGTTCTATATGTGAGGCAAGATTGAAACATATAGACAGTG